AATAGCAAGAGCACGAGTTGGATTTGGATCCCGATCCAAATCGGGTGTTTGTATCAACATTGTCAATTATGTTCATAGTTGAATTGGAAAAAAAAAATAAAATAGAAAAATAGAAAAATAATATACATACATAATTTTCATATAAAATATAAGATCAAAATGATATGGTAATGATTTTTTTGCAATTATATACCAAAATGATGGGTGTTTTGATGAATAACTATAAACGAGATATCATTTTGTATGAGTTTTATGTATACAAATTTTGTTTGTATAGCGATACTCAAAAAAAATATGAATACTTGCAAGATATAAAAATTCCGTAATACACACCTCCTTTTCGGGCATATATTATAGGCCTTTACTATGATGTTAGTAATTTTTAATTATGGTCTATTACGATATCAGTTATTATGACTTAATTATATATAGTGTGGTATTAGTTATGACTCATTATGATATTAGTTATGACAATTATTTTGATTTTGATTCAAAATGTATTTATTTTTACCTTATATGTTATTCGGTAATTCTCAATTTTTTTTTACTTATGACATTTGTGATAATTAACTCCATAAATGTCTTAACTCACATATGGCACACAACTTTGAATCCCAAGAAAAATTATGTAATTATTTATTTATATTAAAACAATAAGTCAACAAATATCTAATGGACAACTGTTATTGCGAAAAAATTAATTAAAGTAGTGTTGTGTGCGTATTAAAATACATTAAAAATTCAATTAAATCAATAGTCAGCCTTCATAAAATGTACGATGAATTCAAATTGAATTAATTGAAATTTTAAAAAAAAAATGGATACAAATTTGTGATATAAACTACTTGAGTGATGCAATTCTCCACTGCCTTTCCCTTTTTGAACCAATGCACACTTTCTTTTTCAATTGATTCAATAGGATCAATATTTTAAACAATGGTTGCAAAATTTTGATCAATTTATTTTTAACAGAAGTAAATATTAGAATGGTTAATTATACCATAATTCCATCAATTGTTAGTGAGAATCATTTTATCTTTTTATTTGTAAATGCGTATAAAACTCTCTCAATTATAAAAATCATAGAAATATGCCTATTTTGAATGTGGTCTAAAGAGATTGAAAGTAATATATTTTCATAATTTAAAGAGTTAAAATATAAGGGTTTATAGATAAAGGAGTCAATTAATATTTACTAATAATTGAGGATTCTTAACTCTGTCAGGACTGTTTAACAACTCCGATAGTCCCATGCTGGGGTAAAAGAGGAGGGTTGTGTTTTAGGTAACCAACAATCAACACATAAAAAAAGTTGCTCAGATCTCTTATGAAAATAAATCCTACTTTAAATTGATTAAATGTTAGGTCATTCCCCTTAAGTGACGCGTTGCACCTGTCTCTAGGTGTTTCGAAAGATGAGCAAGGGGTGCCGTATTGACGCTTGGGTGTGGTGAAAAATGAGCAAAGGTTGTCGCATTTTTTCTGGACGAGCGTAGATAAAGAAGTTAGTCCAAAACTATAGGTTTAGAGAAGCCACATGGAATGTAGGAACTTTAGCTCGTAAGACTATGAAATTGGTAGATATTATAATTAAGAAGAGAGTTAGTATAGCTTGCATACAAGAAACTTAGTAGACGGGTGAGAAAGCTAGGGAAATAGAGGATAGCAGTTTTAAACAATATTATAATGGCAATGATAGATAAGAATGAGGTAGGAATAATAGTTGCGAAGGGTCTTGTACAAAATGTAGTTATGGTCATTAGGAAAGATAATAGGATTATGTTAGTTAAACTGGTTATTGGAGATAATACAGTGGTCGTTATTAGTGTATACGTCCCCAAGTAGGATTAGATGATCAGATTAAGAGAGATGTTTTGGACCAAATGGATGAGGTATTACAAGATATACCCGTAGGAGAGAATCTAGTTATCGGTGGAGATTTCAATAGCCTTGTAGAAATTGATAAACTAAGTTATGAGAAGGTGTATTTTAGATTTTGCATTAGTTTATGACTTAGTGGTAGCCAATACATTGTATAAGAAGAGATAGGAGCATTTGATAACCTTTAAGAATTGGTTAATTATGAGCCAAATAGATTACTTTCTTATAAGAAAAGTGAACCGTCTAAAATGCAATAACTGTAAGGTGATTCTTGAAGGGAGCCTGACATCTCAACATAGAATCTTGGTACTAGATTTATGTTTTAAAGGGTAATACCAAGCTAAGAAGGATATTAGGCGTCGTAAGACAAGATGGTGGGGCCTAAAATGATATATACTAGAAATATTTAAGAATAGAACAGATATAGAAGGTACTTGGAACTTAAAAGATGATGGTAACACTATGTGGAACTTGATGACCAATTATATGAGGACTCAAGGGAAGTCCTTGGAGAGTCGAAAGGAAAGGAACCCAACTCTAAGGAAACTTGGTGGTGGAGGGAGGACGTTTAAGCAGTAGTAAAGATGAAAAAAGAGTGCTGTAAAAAGTAGCAAAAGCATAGAACTGAGAAAAATGCTAAGAGCTACAGATTGGTTAAGGTGGTTAAAAAAGACATATGAATGCGTGATGACTACTATTAGATCGCATGTTAGAGAGACAAATGAATTTTCAATTATTGTGGGGTTATACCAAGAATCAACCTTAAGTTCTTATCTTTTTGCTTTAGTTATGGATGAGTTAACGAGAAATATTCAGACTGATGTGCCATGTTGTATGCTTTTTGTATATGATATCGTGTTAGTGGATGAGATTAGAGAAGCAGTTAACACTAAGTTGGAGACTTTGAGAGAAGCATTTGAATCTAAAGGATTTAGGACAGAGTACATGGAGTGTAATTAGTAACAAAAACAATGGAAGTATATGAGAAGTGAAGATTGAGAACCAATAACTACCTAAGAGTGAACATTTTCATTATTTTAGATCGATTATCACAATGGTTAGGGAGATTAGAGCGGATATGATCTACAAAATTAAGGCAATGTGGCTTAAATGGAGGAGTGTGTCTGGGGTACTGTGTAATAAACAAGTACCCACTAGACTAAAACAAAAGTTCTATAGAATGGCTATTAGACCAACAATGTTGTATGGGACAGAATGTTGAGCAACTAAGAAGCAACATGTAGATAAGATAAGTGTTGCTGAAATGAGGATGCTAAGGTGGATGTGTAGCAAGACTAGAAAAAGACAGAATTAGAAATGAGTATATTCGTAAATAAGTAGGAGTGGCACCTAGGGGTGCTATCAAATCGTTTTTTGACGGTTTGGTTTGCGGTTTAGACTCGCCTACATGTTTGCGGTTTGGAAAAGATTGAATTCGCAACTGCCCGCAATGCAGGTTACGGTTTGTGCGGATAGGGTTTGCAGACGTACGGGCAGTTGTGGGCAATTTGCAGATTGAATTTTTTCCTTTAAATTCATCAACTTTTACATTCATCTAAAAACCAAAATGCAACAACAATAACTAGTTAAGAGCCAAAATAAATTATTGTCAAACTTTATCCAAACCCATTAAATAAAATAAAATAAAATAAAAACATTAGCAAACTCGTAATCTCCATAGAAAATGAAAATTATATAATTTATTTAACCTTCAATCTTCATAGAAAATCTCAATGCTCTTTCTAAGAATTTTCTTTATGAGAAAGAGAAAAAATAAAATAAAATAAAAGTTTTATACTCCAGTTTTGTGGTTTAGAAAACAAAGAAAATAATTTATGAAACAAACCTTGAAGTTTTGTCCAAAGATAACAAAGAACTCAAATGTTGAGAAGGATTCTGTGATAAAAAAAATTTGCCACCAAATTTATCTTTCCCTTCTACAAAACTTACAAAAAAATCTGACGGTCCAGATTTAAAAAATATATATATATAATGCATAAAGTTGCGGCGGCAACTCGCAAAATAGAAAAATCCTAACCTGCATCCGACCCTAACGATTCTGCGAAACAGCTCAAATAGGTGCGGGCAGTTCGGGTTTGGCAGTTTTTACGGATCGGATAACCCTATGCCCAACCGTAGTAGCATCGATAGAAGATAAGTTAAGAAAGAATATATTGAGATGGTTTGGTTATATATAATGGTCAACAAAGGTAGTAGTGAAGAGATGTGATACAGTGACGATAAATAAAGGTGTTATGGAAAGGGGCAGGGCTAGATTGACATATACGAGTGTAATAAATAGATATATGAATCTCTGTAATTTGACTAACTAAATGGTCGACTGAGTCAAGTAAATAAAAAAGATTCATATAACTAATCTCATTTAATAAAATTTAAGTCTTGATTTGATTTGGTTTGATTTAATAATTGAAGACTCTTGGTGTAATTAACCCTATTAAAGAGTTAGTAACTTTTTAAAGGTGAATAAGCTCAATTGACACCACAGTGTTGTATGTGGTGCCTACCTCTGCCCAAGGCTCACTCGTCAACATTTGTAATATAGTAATTGATGTATTGAAATTTTAATAAATTTTTAATGTCAATGTAGTTTTTGTAGTTGTAATTGTATCGCTTTTACTTTTTAATTTTTATAGACTTAATTTAATTGAATTGATAATATTTGTTAAGAATTTTGACAAAAATCAATGATAAAATATTCAATTCAAAAGGAAATAGATTATTTTAAATTAGATACTATCTCTCAATTATTTTTGGAATAGTAAATAACCATTTTGATCATCGATTTTAGTTCAATTTCTAAAATAACTTTACCAATCGGATTAGATTGACATTATATGAAAATTTTAAAATCAAAATTGATGCAAATAAATTTAGAAGAACCACTGGAGTAATTTGTCCCCAAAAAAAAAATTAATAATAATAATAATAATAATAATAATAATAATAATTAATAGGGTTATTGGATCCGGTTTTTTTTGCTGCGGAACCAATCCGTAGATGAGACTTTCTTAATTAAGCCACAAGCACGTGAAGTTCTAGTTCGCACACTTATTACCTGTATTACAAGGAAACTCCACTTATGGAAACTCAATATTTTCCCCTTTTAGTTTCACCGTTCTCTCTTAGATTTACTTCTCCTATATTCCTTTCCCTCTTCATAAATTTTTTCATAGAGCAATTTTCCTGCTTGATTTTCCATAGAAAATCCTAGTGATATCCTAAGAGAAAACCAAAACAAAACCCACTTTGCAAATTGCATATATCTCGGTGAAGATATTCTCTTTCTTCGAATAATAATAATAAAAGTGTTTTCATCATGTCAAAGATTGAGGTTGTTGATGTGAGTCTGAACCGGGCAGCACCACCGCAAAGCAGAGTGAATGCCAACTTTCCGGAGGGTTTGAGAGTTCTTGTGGTTGATGACAACGTTGTCTGCCTCAAACTTGTTGCTGCTCTTCTCAACAAGTGTCACTATAAAGGTTTCTATTCTCAATCCCAATATATATATAGACTTATATGCTTGAAGATCACAAACAGGGTTTGGTTTATTATTTGAACAAGTTTATAATTCTTGAGGATATGAAAATTTATGTAGAGAGTACCTATAGAATATGATTCTTAGACTTTTTTTCTTTGAATTTTAAATGTATACACGTGATTCCTAATTTTAAATGTATAAATTGTGCGGAACATAACTGCAATAGTTACATAAATTGAGAATTTCGAATTGTAGAATTTATGAAATTAATTGTGGACATCTTATTAGGTTGCTTGTGATTTTTTTTTTCTTTTTTTAAAATGATTTTGCTAGTTTGGGTTTGTGAACATAATGGAGTTATAGCATTTTTATGGTAATAAACAGTAAAGACATATTTAAATAAATAATTTAAATATCTTAGCATGATGTTCTGGGCATATCTAATTGGGATCGTTGTATCTTTGCTATGATGTCTTTGTCATCCTTTGCTTTTATTGTTGGATGTCAATGTATTGTTGCTTGTTTATCATAAATAAAGTGCTTTTTTGCTGTTTCAAAAAAAATAAAAATTATAATAATAATTTTGCCCAATTGCTCCATCTTTCTCTGTTTATTTTTAAAGCCAACGACCAAGTAAGTATAATGTTACTAAATTGTTGGATATTAAAGAAAATTAAAAAAGAATCTGAACTTTTAATTTTGTCAATTTAAATCTTAAATTTTAATTTGGTTTTAATTTAAACCATCAACCTATTTTGTTATGTAAAACAGATGAAAGAAATAGTATTTTAGTCATTAAATTCAATATATGTGTACATGAAACATCTAAAATACTTTTTTCATTGATTTTAATGACTAAAATATCATATTTTTCGTTGATTTTACTTATCGGAAATAGGGAGGTAGATGATGGTTTAGATTGAAAAGAAATAAAAAGTTTATAATTTAAATTGATAAAATTAAAAAAAAAATGTTTATTTAATTACAATGGTCAAACTAGAGGTTTTTTTTTTTAATTTCTCTTAAATTTTACCATTATTGTGGGTCCGACTAGATCTCGGTTATAAAAATACAAAATGAATTTGAATTTTACAGTTGGGGATTAAGGAGAAGATCATGGCTTCCCTATGAATCAAGGTTCATATTCCAATATTTTTATTTAGTTACTCTGACAAAATTTTCGAGAGAGTTCAATCAAAACATATAAAGCCAAATAAATTGAATTTAATGCACTGTTTCATAGAATTTTTTCTAAAACTACATTCCTTAGTCTAGAGAACAGAGATACTGAAATCTTGACTATTGAAAGGGTCATTGAACTATTAGGCCTATTTATTCCAAAATTTTATGTATTTTGATATGTATGCAGTTACGGCGACAACAAAAGCAACAGAAGCTCTTAAAATGCTGAGGAAGAAGAAAAAAAAATATGATATTGTGATTACTGATGTTATAATGCTTGATATGAACGGTTTCGAGCTTTTGGAGATAATAGACCTTGAAATGGACATGCCAGTAATAAGTAAGCTCATCATTTCTTAATCAGTATACATTAACTTGGATGAGATTAAATCTTAAACATAAGTTTGGAATTGCAGTGATGTCTGCAAATGATAACAAAGAATTGGTGATGAAGGGGGTAAAGCATGGAGCTCGAGACTACCTGATAAAGCCACTTCGGTTGGAAGAAGTGAAGAATATTTGGCAGCATGTGGTCCGGAAAAATCTATTTAATACAACGAAATATGGCACCGTGCAAGCAGGAACATATCAAAACCCCCCAATTCCATCTTCAAAGAGGCAGAGGGAAAATAGAAATGAGGAAGAAAAAGAAGAAGAAGAAGAAGAAGAAGAAGAAACAAACACTCATAATGAGGAATCTTCTGCAAAGAAGAAGACGAAGAAGAAGAGGGTTAGTTGGACTGGAGTGTTGCATAACAAGTTTGTCGATGCTGTTCGGCAGCTAGGAGTGGATAGTAAGTCTTGGATCTTCATTTTATTTTATTTTACAAGCTTAAAAAATATACACCTGATTGATTCCCAATACATATGGCTTGATACTTCCAATAAGGTTACACTGTAATCCATACTTAATCGTCTTTCGATACCACTATGTAAAATCTTGCTCCTTGCACTAGCTTAGCTGCTAATATCACACAAACATGACAAAAGTAAAAGTATGTATTGGGGTGTATCCTAACATTATTGGGTCTGTGTCTTTGTACCTTTGCAGAAGCAGTTCCAAAGAAGATACTCGACATCATGAATGAACCGGAGATCTCTCGAGGAAGTGTTGCTAGCCACCTTCAGGTGAGTTTGGTCTTTCCATCAAGCTTCCAAGATGGCATTCTAGGTTATGAGTCCTCTGTTTGCTATATCCTGCATCATGGACTAGTCAGATATGTAATGCAAGTGAAACTAAACTGTGATTCTTTAACTGTTTGTTTTTTGATACTCCTTTTTCTTGATTGCAGAAGTACATAAATGCCTTAAGGAAGGAGAACACAAAAGCTAAAATGAGCCAAGAAAGCGAGAACAATATCAATTCAAACAAAACAAACGGGCTTCTATCCAATACAATCACCACATCTTGTATTAATCAAGGCCTAAACACCATCAATCATCACAACAGATTAGCAGAACAAGACATGAGTACTGGGATCACTTCATTTGGTAGCCAACTTCAAACATTTGGTGCTTCTACATCAAATGCAAAACTCCTCCAACAAAACCAACTACCTCCCAAAGTAGTGGAAGATCAAATGCGCCCAACCGTGCTTGGAAGTGTCCCTCCATCTCCATTTTTTGCGACAAATCCATCTCCCCATCATGAATTGAATGGGATGAGGTTTCACTCTATTAATTCGAGAACAAAGATGTTTGGTGACAATGTCAAGATGTCTTCTTCTCAGCTTCCTAGCTTTAACATAGGACAATCTGGTCCAAGCAATATGCCTGTTAGCTTTGGGCCATATTCATGTCCTCCTGCAACCTTCAACCTTGGCAGTGTTTCTTTTCAAAAGCTTGGAGATGCTTCAAATCAATTGAATCCAATTTCTCAACCTGATTCTCTTGCCATGTTGCTTCCATGTTAGTTATCCTCCCTTTATCTTTCTGTTTGGTATATTTCTTTTTATTTTTGTTCCCCAATATCATTGATGTTCTGTTTGGTTTTTAGTATTTCGTTAATTTGTTCTTTTTCTGCTCCTATATCAATGAAACCAAAATTGAAATAATTCTATAAATTGACAGAATTTAAAGCTTTCAGACTATAAAATAAGAATGTTATATCAATTATTGCACTTCAATTTGAGAGCATATTTCACTCTATGTCCACTTAAAACAAAAGGGTTTCTTCCTTTAATAAATTTTTGATTGATGGAGTTTTAGTAGACACTGTCTTTGCTTTGTTTTTATTATTCTTTTACTTGGTATGGATATTAAGTCAGCTACATATATATGTACCGAGTGAACAATTTTGAGTTTTATAGAGCTTCATCATTCTGTTGTTTTCTGATTTCAGGGCAACATGAAGGAAGAAAATTAGCTAATCTCAAAGTAAAAGAACCAATTGACTCAATCCGAAAAGCGCAGTTTGTGCAGCATCGATATCCCTTTGAGAATACAGAAAGAGAAATCAATATCCATCATAATAATAGCAGTAGTTTCCCGGATGATGACCTCCTTAGCATTGTGGTAAAACAGGTGACATTTTTCAGCTGTAATTCCTCTTTTCAGAATTAGAAATGTCCCCAATCCATTAAAGGACAAACATATTTAGCGATTTTTTTTTTAAAAAAAAAATTCCCCATGATTGATTATTGGGTCTTTGCTTTTGATTGCATAGGTATGTCAGTCTTTTCTCAAGTCACACAACCCTAGTACCAATGGAAACACACGAGACACTTGTCAAGCATATCCAATAAGGAAAAAGGCTAATTAACATGATCATATGCCTTTTTTAAAATCAGTTTTAAACACTATCCCACAAAGGAAGCTTGTGGTTCACTAGTAACTTCTGAAAGCACCTTCTTTAATCTGATTGATTACATCTTGGATAATATTTTGTAAATAAATCCTACCATATATACTAAATGGGATTGGACTCCTCAAAGCATGAATCTCTTTCAACCTTAGGAATTAAGGCAATGAATGTAGCATTAAAGCCATTTACAATTCTGTCATTATTGTAAAATTCCTAAGACAAAGACCATAACATCCCTTTTAATGATGCTCCAAACCTTCTTGATAAAAGAAAAATTAAACCCAGCGGAATGCTTCACTGCTTGCAGCTTCTTCAACAACAAATATCACATTTTACATGTAGCTAAATTGGATTTGGACTTGACTGAAAGAATTATTAGGTTAACTTGACAATAAATAAGATTTGATTCCAAAACCACAGTTAGTTGTGACATGCAAGATAGATCATTGATGCAGTCATGAATCACACTAGTAATAACTTAAATTATTCCATTAAAATGCCTAACATTTAAGATTGATTCTCTTCAACTGCTTATAGATGAATCTATATAAACAAGGACTTGTAACTATTTCTTGACACTTTTTTGGCTTCTTTATTGCAGTTTACCAAGAACTCAGCTCCTATATTGTAATCACAGGGCATCCTATTTTAAATTGAAGCTGATTTATGAAAACGAACAAGAAGAAGATTTTGTTGATGCCTACGCTGATAGAAGTTTTTTCGTGTTCGTGATTGTTTCGAGATGCTCTCCATATTGTGAGATTTGAAGATTGATGCTTTCTCTATGGGAAGACAAATGATAGTTTTTAAAGTTTAGACTGTGGTGTGATTTATTGATCAGATAAATCATGATTTATTCTAGATTTATTTACATTGTTAGATGTCCATAGTACATGCATTAATTCTCTAGGATACATATATTTTTAATTTGCCTCATTTTATGGAATTATGGATGTTGAAAAACATACCATCATAAATCATTTTGTGTAGAATCTGAAGTTTGTTTTATCTAGTTAAAGGGACAGTAGGGTTTCTTTTAGGGGTAATTCTTGACGCTTTTGTTAATTTTAATGCTTTAACTGTAATGGAAATGATGTCTACGGGTAAGGTAAAAGTGGTGATTATTTAGTAGTTCCTGAATACTGTCTAATATTGTTCACATATATAAATCTTTACGGGCGGGATAATTTTAACCCATTTTTATTAAGTAGTTAGGAGATCGAGGACGATTCACATAGTACATTTTGCAATTAGTATAAAAATAATGATATATGATATTATGAGACTATATAATGTCATCTTGGGAGGTATTTATAATTGAATCATTTCATTAGGTTGTTGCCAAATTGGGCAAGAGATGATTCTCTCAGATGCCATTTTAGATAATCAATATGCAAACTTGTGAATCATTTTTTATTTTTTTAATTGCCTCGTATGTTTAATGCTGGAAGCTGAAGAAGAAATGTCATGATAATAAACAGTTTATTTACCCAAAAAAAACATTCATAAACGAAATTGGGCCATAATGGAATGGGAGAAACACCGATTAATGTTGCTATATTCTGCATTGGCTGAAGAATATTGGGGTTATTTAGTATAGCTTATCTAAGTTGGCTATAACTTATTTTATTTTGCGAGTCTCTGTTAGACTGGTTGAAATAATTTCTGTTTAAAACTTATTAGGCAGAAATAATTTAAATAAAATGATTATCAAGAAGCTGGAAGAAGGGTGTTTTTGACTTTTACTTTCTAATTATCAATTTTTATTTTATAATAAGTTGTACTAAACAAGTCCATTGTCAGTCATTCATATTTCAACTAATAGAATGTTTGGTTCGAGTTTTTTTAAACATATCTTTTTGGATAAAAAACAATTTCAGTACTTAAACAATTTTAGTACTTAAAGTACTTAAACAATTTCAATTTTATCATTTTGGTCCTAGCTCTAATGTTTGTTTACATTAATAATGGAAAAAAATATTTTATCCTTAGGTAAAAGATAGTTTTCATCTTTAAAGTATGCATTTCTTACCATTTTAGTCCCCCAAGTTCTAAACTTTATAATTTTGGTTATCAAAGTTGTCAATTTGAGTTAGGATCAGATTGGTTCAAATTGACAACTTTGAGAATCAAAATGACAAAATATAAAACTTGAGATACTAAAATGATAAGAGCTGGGCATAAGATTATCCGAACCGCACAACCCGCATACAAATGGGCAGTTTCGCAGACCCAATGCGGGCAGATGCAGTTTGGAATATGACATAATTGTAGGTTGCGGGCGGATTGCGGGTTTAATCCGCACCCGCAAGAACCCGCCCGCACTTAGATTTTTTTTTAAAAAAACCTGGACCATTTATTATTACATTTTGGAAAAATGTAAAAGTTAATGAATAATTACTTTTAGGTAAGTTTAAGATTTTGAATGATTTTACTTTAATTGTATTGTTGGGTAGTAGATAGTGAATGAGATTGATGATTTAGTGTAGGATTTTAAAAGATGTGCTTGTGTTAATTTATGCTTTGATTTAAAAGTTTAAAATTTTAAATGAGTTGTTTTGTTAAAAATTGATTTTGTTGTGTTTTTAATTTTATAAGTTTTGATTCATTAATTATTAATGTTGAAGCATTTTAGAAAATGGGAGGAAAAGGGCTCAAAATAAATATTTACAAAATGAGAGAAAAAAAAATGCTCTAAAAATGCAAACCCTATCCGCACAAACCGCAAACCGCACTACGGGTGGTTGCGGGTTGAATTTTTTCCAAACAGCATACATGCGGGTGGGTCCAAACCGATCCGCAAACCGTCCAAAATCGAACCGCGACCACCCCTAAAAATGACAATAAACACATACTTTTGAGGCCAAAACTAGTTTTTATTCGTATTTTTATTATCAATATATACAGACGTTAGATTTAAGACTAAATTGACTCAAATTGATAATTTTGATAATAAAAATGAAAAAATTAAAAATTACGAGATTAAAATGACAAAAAAAAAAAGAAAAAAGTATACTTTAAAGACTAAAACTATCTCTTATTGTAACTTTTTTGTTATTTTTTATTTTTTTTAGAATCTAAAAAAATTGATGCTTTAGTAATTTCTTTTTTTTTATTTTTTTATTTTTATCACTGAGAAAATTTTGAGAAATTCTTACTTGTATTGAAAAATTATCATATTGCCTTACGGTGTTGTGAAACTTTGTTAACATGAAACAAGATTTTAATTCTGCAAACGTTACTAATTCTTTTTTTAACCAAACTAAACAACTTATTTAGTTTTGACTTTATTGAGCCAAAAAAATAGTTTATTTGGAGGTAAGTAAACAGATCGTGACTAACAATAGTTGATTTAATGCACGCTATTTAAGATTTTAAATAGTGGTTGATAATATTGTATTATCTGATATGTTTTGACCATTTTTTCATAAGTATTGGTTTATACTTGATTGAGAACTAATAATATATTTAAAATCAAAGAGGGTGTCCATAGTTTTACTGGAAGATAAATTTATTGTGATTAAGGGTCCATTTGGGATGAGACAGTTTTAGTCACACAAAAAAATAAAAAATAAATAATAAATAATAAAAAAGTGGGAGAAAAAAAATTAAAAATAATATCATACAAAAAAATCAAAGATTTATTTCCGTTTACTCCACTTTGTAATTTTTTTTATAAGAAATCAAAAAGTCATTCTCAAACATTTCAATTTCTTTCCTCTCATGTTGTAACAAAAAAAAAAAATTACTTCACGATCCAACCCTACGTAGGTAACATGGCAAAACCAAATCCATCTTTCTCTTAAGAAATTTTTTTAAAAAATAACCTATAAAACTTGTACATTAAACTTTTAAATCCTAACACATACATGCAGTTCAAAGGCTAAGGGATTGTGAATGGCCGAAAGACAAAAGTAGTGGGTCCTAATGAAAATGGCATAACAAACCAACTACCAGGAAATTAATTTAGGCCCACAAAGACAGAAATAATGGGCCATCATAAAGAAACATTAAATGGAAAATGATTAGTAAGTGTAAAGTTTATATATATATATATAATGCATTTAGAATAATGTGTTGAAGTCAATGATAATTATGAAAATAAAGTCTCGTTTGGCAACATCACATTTTAGTTTAAAAATCAAAAGTCATTAAAAAAGTCAAAAATCTAACAAATTATACCCAAAAAAAATCAAATATTCTATTTTCTCTCTACTTTTTGCACATCTTGTTGTAAAAAATTTAAAAGTTATCACAAACATATTAATTTTTGTACCTCATATTTTAATCAAAAAAATTACTAAAATAATATGTTCCCAAACAAGATCTAATTATGAGTGTTTTGATTGAAAAAAATGAAGCTCACAAAAAAATACATCATTTTATATTAGAATTATATATATATATATTAAAAAAAAAGAACACAAAATATCAATTATTTTAGTCTTTATTTATGCGTTTTTATAAGTTACATACAGTTATTTAAAATTTATTAACAAATGACCTTATGACGTGTGTCCGTAAAATATCGTACGGTTGTTAATGTTCTATTATCAACTCATAAGGCTCCGTTTGTTTTGGGGTGTAGTGGATGGGAGAGGATTATGATGGATGTAGGGTTATTTAGTGTTGTGTTCGTTTGTAGAGTTGAAGAAGGAATTATGTTGAAGGAGGGGATTAAGATGGAGGTTAGAAGGGGGATTGGGATGGTGGAGTTGAAAGTGGTATTAGAAAAATAGTGAGGCAATTAGAATTTTTTTTATTTTTTTTATTCATATTGGGAATTTTTTTTTTAAACATTAAAGTTTTATTTTTTATATTTTTTATTTGTTTTATTATTTTATATAAAAATAATTTAACAATTCCTACAGTAACAACTATCATCAAAACAAACACAATTTTACTTAATCCCCTCACTAACAGTAACAACTATCATCAAAACAAACACAATTTTACTTAATCCCCTCACTATCAATCCCCTCTATTCTACCTCTGAAAATAAAGGGGACCGAAGAGATATCAAAAACAGAAATTAAGATTGTTTTGAGAATTAGTTATTTTAATTGATTTTTTAATTTTATATGAATAATGTGTAAAAAAATAAAGAGAAGGATTGACTTTTTAATTATTTTAAATAATTCCCAAACTTGTTTTTGGAAAGATTATGTAACTGTGTGCCTATCTAACCATATTTTATCATTTTCTCAAATTGTTGTTATTTTATGGGGCTATGTAATAATATAAAGGAACCTACTTGGGTGGATTTGGTGGAGAACATTAAGATCAAGATTGCGTTTTGGGTCAAACAATCGATTAACCTGCCAGAATTCTCTATCTTTGACTTTCTGTCTTGCTTACATCGTATCAAGGGCTACAAAGCTGGGCTCTCAGGTTGATGTTTTGGTTTTTGCTTGTTCTTTTCTTTGTATCTCCCTTGGCTGATTGTTCTTCAGCCCTCCTTCGGCTTGTGCCTGCACATGATTGAGTTCTCTATTATGTGCCAGCCTCATTGAGATATAATTTTGAACTATGATGCATTTCTGCCAAGCCTTTTTTGTTCTTCTTCTTTATCAATAAATTTTTATTTCTTTGCTGATCAAAAAAAAAAACAAAAAAATACACAACTTCTAGTTATTGAATGGGCACAACATCACCTTGAAATTCTTGGAAGACTAGATAAGATAATTACCCCTTAAAAAGTCACATTTTAGTTAAACCTCATTTGATTTGTGATATTTTAGTTAAAAATTTTTATAAAGCCACAAAATAACTAAAAAAATCTAAACAGTCAAAATGCCATATCATATATATCAATCAATTACTTTTTCTTTCACAATTATCTATTCAATTAAAAACTCATTCCATATTAACTTATTTCACTTCATTAAAAACTCAAAAAGTAAAAAAAAAAACTACTAAAAAAGAGAAATTGCCAAAGCGACGCCTGGCACTATTTGTTACAGGTTCTAAGAAGTAATTATAACTTATTTTAATTAGAGAGTCTGTACTAGACTGTTTGGTGTAATTTTTGC